GGGGACAGGATCCATCCAGTAATGAGGTCAGTGCCCTGGGCTCCAGTCCCCTGGCTAGGCTCTGCCTCCAAACCCAGCTACAATGGGAATCAGGTTCTCAATGCATGAGTCTTTGGGGTCCCTTCGCACTTACATCACAGCAGTATCCTTTGAGCTACAGAAAGCTGAAAGAACATAGAAGTTTTAAATTTTGACAAAGCCCAGTTAAAATAAAATTGGTTTCACTTTTGTTTCTAAAAACACTGTTCTTCCCCTCCTGTCTTGGCTCAAGCCGGGTACCTGGCTCAGAAGATGGGGCTGCCAATCCGCCTGGTCGCGGCCGTGAACCACAACGACATCATCCACAGGACCATCAAGCACGGAGACTTCTCTCTGTCCCAGGCTGTCCAACCAACCTTGGCCTCAGCCATGGACATTCAGGTGGGGCTGTGGGGCAGAGAGCAAGGCAGCCAGGGACTGCTGGGTGGAGCCTGGGCTTCCGTCGGGGGCTGCGGTCAGGATGGCTTGGGACTCTGCCTCCTGACAGGTGCCCTACAACATGGAGCGCATCTTCTGGCTGCTCTCGGGCTCCAACAGCCAGGTAACCCGGGCCCTCATGGAGCAGTTTGAAAGGACCCAAGGTGTGCATCTACCCAAGGAATTGCACAGCAAGGTCAGTTGCTGGCTGTACCCCGCTGGAATGGAGGGGGTATGGCTGCACTGCAGACTGGGGTGGGAGTAAAAGAAGGGGACACCCCATTTTCTGAGCATCTGGTATGAGCCTGATATGCTTACAGTCACCTGATGGTAGGCTCGTGTATTGAATGAGGGGAGCCAGCAGAATGTGGCTTAGATTCAGGTGGGCTGAACCCCAAACCTGCTGTGCTAGTTTTTGAAAATTGCTACCTCAATTTCCTCATCTTTAAAATGGGAAGAAAAACAGATGGTGGGGTGTACCTGTAATCCCAGCATGTGGGAGGCTGAGGCAGGACAATTGCCACAAGTTGTAGGTCAGTCTGGGCTATATAGTGAGTCCGAGTCCAGCCTAAACTATATCATGAGGCCTTAACTAAAAAATAAATAAAAAGAATGCCTACTTCATAAGGTCCCTGTAAGATTTAAGTCAAACAATATAGGTGAGGCACTTTGCAAACTGCCTGGTAATATAAGGCTTCAAATGTTAACTGTTAATGTTTTTATTTATTATAGTGTTCATTTCTTTTTTTTTTTTTTTTTTTGCGGAACCAGGGATTGAACTCAGGCCCTTGCGCTTGCCAGGGAAGCGCTTATTCCACTGAGCCATCTCCCCGGCCCTCATTTCTAATAATAGTAACAACCAGCAAGCAGGGCAGAGCCTTGTTTTCCTTATAGTATGAGCAGAAACCCTTGTTTCTGTTGAATATTCTCTCTCTCCGCCCCCACTCTCTCTCTTCCTTTTTTTTTTTTTTTTTTTTTTTTTCAGAGCCAGGGATTGAACTCAGGCCCTTGTGCTTGCCAGGGAAGCACTTATTCCACTGAGCCATCTCTTGGGCCTCTCCCTCCTCTCTATCAGTCTCTGTCAAAGAAGGAGACATAGTTTAGAAGTTGGAAAGATTGCATTTATTTTAATGTAGCCAGGTGATGTCACTTAGCTTATGTGTCACATACAGGGGCTCTGAAGCTGCCTTCCATTGTCCACACCCCCTAAGTGGCCTTGTGGACTCCCCATACCTCCAGTGACCGGGACCTCCCTGGCCTACACGGGCTTAATCGCAGCGGGCTCCTTAGCTGCAGTCTGCTCCTTCTGGCCTATGCAACCTGAGGCCTGTGTTCAGAGTGCATCCTCACTCCCCCTGGTCTTCCCAGTTCCTCAGCTGGCCCTTCTATGACCTAATCCCTTGTGGTCGGCGACCTTCCTTATGAATGGTTCTCAAAACCAGAAGCAATTCTCCAGGCTGAGCCGAGCCCAGGCAGACAGCAGTGCAATTTCTGTCTTCTGCGATCTGTGCTTCTTTGGATGAAGTTAAACATCAGGGTTTTTCTTTTTAGCTCATGGTCAGTTTCTTTGTTTTTTTTTTTTTTGTTTGTTTGTTTTTTGTTTTTGTTTTGTTTTTGTATTTTAGGGAAGGGTCTACAGGGTGTTCAGGGTCTCACTACTAGATTGGACTCATAGTGATCTGCCTGTTTACAGCCTTCCAAGAGCTGGGATTACAGGTGCATGACACCACGGCCAGTCTCAGTCACTGTCTCTGTGTGCATGGGGGATGGAGCCAGCACAGCAGGCCAGGGGATTGAACCCCCGACCCCTGCACCTGCTTGCAGACGCTTTCATCCACTGAGCTAGTCAGTTTTGACACCCGCATTTCTTCTCATGTAACTAAGATGCTGCATGAAGACAGGCACTCTCTCCCCCATTTATTTCTTTCCTCCCTGGTTGTGTACACAGAAGCCTGTCCATCTCCCAGAGGAGCATTCTTTTACTTGCCCCATTATTTACCGTGAGCGGGGCGCTGGGGATGCAAAGGTACAATGCCTCTTTTGGGCTGGGAGTGCAGTGGCCGAGTGCCTAGCAGTCCTGAGGCTCCGGGATGGCTCCATCCCCAGCACCACAAAGCAAGAAGAAAAGGTAGGGGTGGGGGTTACATTCAGTGCCTTCCGCCATCCCTGATGGGGAAGGGCAGGTCACTATATAAATGACTCCAGCAGGCTGGTATCTGTGGCTGCCGGGTTTGTGCGGGGTGTTTGGTGTGCTGTAAACACAGTACATTTCCAGAACCGTCCTGCCACACAGGTGCTGAGGCAGGAATGTCCCTGTGTCTGCAGAGGCAGGAGGGTTCCTGGAGTTGCTTCTTGGGCTGGGTGGCAGCTGGCCATCTGGAGCTCTCGCCCCAGAAGCTGCCCCACCAGCCACAAAGTGCTAGAAACATCTGCATGCCCTGGACCCTCAGGGTGCGTCAGGCTGTTGAACCAAACCGTGTGCAGCTGCTTTGCTGATTCATGAGCAAATCCCAATCCAAGGGATAGGTCACCATTTGTGACCCTAAAACACAAATGCGCCCTTCCTCCAAGCTGAGGGAAGTGCTCAGTGCTGGGAGAGTGTGTCCGAGCGAGCGAGCGGAGCCCCCACGTGGTGTGGATGTTGCATTTGGGGTCCTGCTGTGCAGCTGATGCTGCATTTGGGGTCCTGCTGTGCAGCTATGCGATGTGCTGCTGCGGCCTCTGCTGTGGGGTTTTAGTTCTCCACTCCCTATCCCTGACACCCAGCCCTGGCTCTGGGACCCTTCAGCTTTCAGAGGCGGTGACCTCTGTGTCAGTGTCGGATGAAGCCATCACCCGGGCCATGGGCCGCTGCTGGGATGAGAACCAGTACTTGTTGTGCCCTCACTCGGCCGTGGCTGTGAGCTACCATTACCAGCAGATGGATGGGCTGCAGCCCAGGTATAGCATGGGTGTGGGTCACAGACCTGGGACTTCTAGGGACTGTGCTCTTCCCCAAATCCCCATCTGTGGACAGATGGCTTGGTGGGAGAGGGGAGGTTGTGCTGCGTGGCCTGGTGGTCTCAGAAGAAGTGTGGCAGGAGCCCCAGGGCAGCTAGGGGAGGGCCTGATTGTCTAGACCCCTAACTGGGAGCTGGGCAGAGTCATGAGTTCAAGGTGAGGTCATCCAGCCATTGGTGTCCTCTGTGCCCAGCCCTGATCTGACCCCCTCTTTCCTTCTGTGCCTTCTCTTCCCTATGCCTGCTGCTGTTCCCTCATCTGGCCTCTGGCCCCTGCTGCCCGCCCTATCCCTGACAGTGCTGCCCGGTGCTGCCTGGCCCCTGCCTCTGCAGCCAAGTTCCCAGAAGTGGTCCTGGCTGCCGGGCTGACCCCTGAGATGCCAGAAGAGATCACAGCTCTAGAGCGCAAGGAGACCCGCTGCACTCCAATGCGGAGAGGGGACCCCTGGGCGCTGATGCTGCGGGACACCATCGAGGACCTGAGCCGGAGGTGGAGGGGTCGGTCACTGAGAGGCTTGCAGTAGCCCTGCTGGAGCTGGCCGTGATGGTGGGAGGTGAGCCTGTGACTGCCTAGGGGTCGCAGAAGGCTGAGAGGCTGCACCAGGGCCAGCTGCTTTTGCTGTGCGCTCCATGTTTGGCAGGGCCACTCCAGTCCCTGGAGGACCTGGGTGAAGGCAGGAACGCATCCCACCTCTGGGGATGAGCACGTTTCTGGGCCTGCCACCGAGGAGCCTTGGGCACAGGGCTACCCTGCTCAGGGGTTTAGGACACTGGCCCTTGGTAGGTGGAGGCCACTTACCATGTTAATACGGGCTCTAAGGGAGCTGTATCCAAGCCTCAAATTCTCTGGCCCCCAAACCAAATCCCAAGGTGCTGGCTGAGCCCATTGCAGCCTTGGGAATCCCTGGGATAAACGTACTGCTCAGTCTGCCGAAGACCCCTTCCCAGCAGAGCTGGGCGCATTGCAGCCCTGATGGCTGCAGGGTGTTGGGCCAAAGTACCTGTATCTACCTGCTGCTCTGAGCTGGCGCAGGCTTGCAAGGCTGTAGCAGAGGGCTGAGCTCAGGACGTCAGAGCCAGGCAGTATGGGAAGACAGGGTCAGTTGTCTGTTCTTCATGTATGAAGACCATGGCAGAGCTGCTGATTTATACTACTGGGCTCAGATCCTGTGGGCACTGGGAGTTTTAGACAAACACGTGTCATGAATGTCAGTGTCAGCTTCAAGCTGTGGATCTGAGGTCCCCTTTGGGAAAGGGGTGGAAGAATTTTTCACCACTAGAGGATGCTGTTGCCCCACCCGGAGGCCCCTTATCTGCCCTCAGGAGCCCTTCCCTGGCTCTGGAGACTGATGCTGATTGCCTATACCAGATGTGAGCCCTGTGTATACAAGATGCCCGGGAATGTGGGGGTGGAGGGGAGACACCAGCTACTGGAGGACTTGGCTTTGAAGCCTGATATGTGAACCAAGAGGGAACCCTGGAAGCAGGAGGGAGATTCCCTAAAGGAATGACACTGGCTTCTTCTAGGCCTCAGCACAGTTTCTCAGACACTTTGCAATCCATAGCCGGAGCCCCTGGGGCCACTCACTAGGACCAGTTGGCCTGGTGCTCAGGGGTCAAGATGTTGATTGAGGCCCTAGAAAATGTTTTGCTTTTTTTTTTTTTTTTTTTAATCCAGAGAAAGCAATGGATACAATGCAGGTTGGATTATATTCATCTTTCTACCAGCTCAGGTGTACAACTCCTAAGTATCTTCCTAGCGGAGGAGGCCACCAAAGTTACAGTGCCCCTACTGTGGGCCATGGGTCTTCACAAAACTTAGCTCATTTGACCTTGGATGAGTACTATCCACAAAGGTAGTGCATGCTACCATTTCCCCATTTTACAGATTAGGAAACCAAGGCTCTGAGACCTCAGATACCAGCCTGAGTCGCACTGTTAGTGAGCACCAAGGCTGGCACTTGAGCCTCGGAGTTTGAGCGTGCCGGTGCATCCTCTGCAGCCAGGCGCTTCTGTGGGGTCCACTCTGCTGTCAGCCTCCATCCTTCCCTGGTGAGGCCCTGCCGCTGGGCCCCCACCCCATTTCTTGGGTGTGTTGGGGAGCACAGCTGTGCTTCACCAGTGGCCTCTGGGAGGCACCACAGCCTTGCTTTCCTGCTGCCCAGTAGCTCCTTTGCCCTGTTTCCAAGGAAACCAATGTGTCCTCCATTGGTCCTAGGACTTGCCTGCCTCTGAGAGGCCACCACACTGTGTAAGAAGCCTGGTTGGAGCCCTTGCCCCGGCACCAGCAGGCAGGAAGCATGGGCTGCGGGCACCCTGGCTTCAAGGGCAGGGACCAAGGCCACTGTGCACCAGCCCAGAGGGGCAGTAGAGGGGAGGAGGGGACCAGAATGAGGAGTTCATAGATGCACCACCTGCCCTGTGTGCGCACACACCACACACCCTCAGACCAGCATGGCAAGTGTGTGTGTGTGTGTGTGTGTGTGTGTGTGTGTGTGTGTGTCCTGATCTATGTGTAGCCATTGTGGCTCACTGGTATCCTTATAGGAAGAAGAAACAAAGACCCAGATGTGGGCACACCCAGAAAACAGCACGGAAAGATGCCACATGCAACTTGACAAGAAGTCTTAGGCACTGGCACCTGGATCTCAGGCATCCGACCTCTGGCACCAGAAGGGAATATATTTCCATCTTCTAAAACCACACAGGCTGTGGTCTACCCTTGCATCAGCCTGAGCCAACACACACACACACACCCCTCTGGATACCCCCAGAAGCGAGACTTGGAGTCTTCTACCAGTTGTCCACTCTTTGGTACTGTGACCACAAATCAGTGGTTTCCGGTCCATGAGCCTCAGTTTCCTCTTCTGCTGATCAGAACACTTACCTACCTTGCAGGTTTACTTTGAGGATTACCTGACATAATGTATTGCTAAGTGCTAGGTAAACTCTCAAATGCCGTACAAATGGTTCTTCCTATTAACACAATTATAGTCTGCACCGAACAATTTAGTACTTTTAAGCTACTGTGTGTTTTTTACTAATTGCCTTGGGAATCAGTCTTATCTTGCCTGGGAGGATGCCTCTCCCTTGGGGGTAAAGTTCTGCTGAGGTTCTCGGTGTGCTGACGCAGCTCGGCACAGAGTGGGGTGGAAGTTGGCCCAGCTGGGGTGCCGAGCAACAGGACTGCCGGTGCTGTGTGCGGGCCAAGGACCTTAGGGTCATCAGCAGCACTTCTGCTAGCCTGCTGTAGTGGATTCCTAACTGGTGGTCAACTTGTCACATCAGCTGCATTGAACTAGCACCATGCTGGTGGAGAGGCCAATCTGAGGATTGTTACCTGCGGCATAAGATGCAGAACAGGAGAAGGTGTCAGTGTGGGGTTAGGGAAGCTGTTTGGAGAAGCTGTCGGAGCTGCTGGAAGCTGCTGGTTCTCTTGGGCTGTTCTGCTGGAGGACCTTGTCCTGCTGGCTTTCCTGATGAACTTGGCTGTTGTCATGGGAAGAGGCACTGGGACCTTGTGGTTGAGGATGGCTGTGGTCCATTTTGGGAGAGCTCTGGTCTTCCTCTTTGGCTTGGGAGGGGGAAGATGGTGCACTGCTCAGCCTCCTGGAGAAGCTTGTCATGTTGGCTGTCCTCATCACTGCAGGAGCTCAGGACCTCACTGTCACTTAGGATGGCTATGGTACTTTCCCAAGGCCTGGGAAGCTTTGCTGAGGTTCTCAGCTGTGTCCTAAATGAACATGGGGTTACTGGGAGGACTAGGCTGCTCATCTCCCAGAAAGAGGACAGGGAGGGCTCCTCTGTTCCTCAGCCCGAGAAAACATCCTCTTCCCAGAGCCCCCTTTTGGTCCCCACCCTCCAGTGTACTTGTCTGTACCCTGGGCCTGGCAGGGCTGAGAGCTGGGCAAATGCTGGTGGCCAAAGTGCTGACTCCCTGTCGTGTGCCGGGCAGTGAGGGGCACCTAGGAATGGAGAAAGCAGAAGACGGAGCTGGGCCTGAGCGATGCAGAGATGGAGAGCGGTGGCCACATCCAGGAGCTGTCAGGGCTGCCGGTACCTGCTTCTGCACACAGGACCTGGCTGCCCTCCCGCACCCTTCCTCCTCCCTCAGCACTGAGAGCTGGCATAGGGTTTGTCCCCACTACCTAAGCATTCCCTAAAAGCCATTGATGAATAAGCCATAAGCCCAGGACATGGCCCCCAAATCTAGCCTTCCTTGAGGACCTTAGACTGGAGCAGAACCAAAGGAGGCATTGAGGGCCCAGACCAAAGCTGGGGGTAGCGGGGTCCCCAGAGCCAGTGGAACAGAAGGGGACCTTCCTGGATTCAGGACTTTTGTCTCCTTTTTCAGGGCTTCCTGCTGCAGCTAAGAATGTCTGCGTGGGAGTGGGCCTCCCTTCCCTTCCTTCTGGGACAGATGAAAAGTGACATCCATCCTTCAGGCCAGGATGAAAGTGTGGCGCCTCCCCGTGGCCTGGCCTTGAAGGGCCTCCAGGAGAGCCTGTCTCTGTTCCTTTCTCTCCCGGGAGGCTGCCTTCCCCCCATCAGCCCTCACCCAGGGCTACCAGAGCTTGCGTGTAAGATTGACTCAGTTTAGGTCATGAGGGTTCAGAGAAGTTGGAGCCCCACTTTATGCAATATCCCACAATCAAAGGTTGCTGCGGGCTGCCACCACCTGTTCTGGACAGACAATTCCCAAAGTCCTGGTAGTCTCCAGAACGCAGGAGTCCAGCTAATGCTTCGTGTGGCCAAGAGAGGGCAGCAGAGCACACCCAAAGTCTTCCTTCTGAAGTTGGCTAATCCTGAGCCCAGGGGCAACCTACACCGGTAGGGCTCACGGCCTTGCCAGGGAAGCGCTTATTCCACTGAGCCATCTCCCCAGTCCCTGGCCTTGCAAATCCAAGTTCTTTGGGAGTCAGGTGCCCTGATGGTCAGCGGGGGCGTGATCCCAAGTTTTGTCAGTTTTTAATTTTTTCTTTGAGAATTGTTCTCCACCGAACCCAGCCTTTATTACATACTGAGCAAACCCTCTACCCCTGAACTACAGTCCTGGCCCCCGAAAATATTTTTTAATTCATTCTCAAATTTAACGTAAAAGTTCCCCTTCTTAAAAAAAAATAAAGTCACAGAGGCCTGCGATGTTGTCTTAGTTCTTAGTTTCATGGTAAAGCTCCTCCAGTGCCTAGAAACATACAACTGCGAAACGACTAGGTGTAGACACACACACACACACACACACACACACACACACACACACACACACACGGGATCAGCAGAAATGAATTCTCAGTGTGAACAGCTCTACAGACACAACCAACAAAGTCAAGAGCATGTTACTGTGTGAAGCACGCATCACGTGCTGCCTCCCGCCCCGGGTGCAGCGTGACCCTGGCTCTTTGCCCAGCAACAGGGTCAGAGCTGTGTGTGTGGTGTTTCTCTCCCATGGGCTGCAGTCCTTCACTCTTCCCTGCTTTCTGTCTTGTGACCCCAGGGAACTGTCCCTATCACAGCAGCTGTGATGCCGCTTGGCTTTTGCTTGGTGGCAGCTCGTCCCGGGTATGTCCGGCCTGCCTCTCCTTACCTGTTGTGACATGGTATTGTTAAGATATTCATATAGAGATAGTATTTTTCCAGCACATAAAGTCAAGCGCAAATGCAGATGCTGAAATTAGGCAATGTGACTGAGTTTTAGAGTGGCCACACTGATGGTCTGGAAAAATCTTTTTCAAAAATTTCTCAAGAGGGACTGTGGGGACTAGGGAGATAGCTTAGTGGCTTAAGCACCTGCTTGGCAAGTGTAAGGTCCTGAGTTCAATCTCTGGCACCCCCTCTCCCCCCCAAAAAAAAAGGAATATCACACACACCAAGCACTTCCCCGATGGAGAATTTCTAAAACAGCTGGATGCGTACCTGGATCCTCTTGGAAAATGTCACCTCTCCTGATCCTGGCTTCTTACAGATGAGTGAATGGAGAGGAGTGGGCTGCTGAGCTCACCAGGGATGGGAACCTGTAGGACTCCAGGCTGGTCATTTGCACAATGCCTCCCCCTTAACAGCTTTCAGAAGAGCACACTTGACCTGGCCAAGGAGACTGGGCATAGATTCTCTGAAGGATTGGCTGTTCCCATTGGGTACCTTCTTGCAGATACCAAGCAGCCATCTTCCAAAGCCTGGAAAATGAAAGATATGGGATAGACAGTCCTTTCAGGGTAGGAAGACCTCACCTAAGGATCCCCCGAGAAGCCTTAAGCTCTTCCAAACTCCAGGTCTGGTGCACAGGTCTAGCCTGCCCCCGTCTTGGTCACCTTCCTTGCTGAATTTTTTTTTTAATTTTATTTATTTGTGTGTGTGTGTGTGTGTGTGTGTGTGTGTGTGTGGCCAGCTCAGCCCACCAGGGGGCGGGGCTGGCTGGCATGTGGTGCTGGGGGATTGAACCGCGGTCCCTGTGTTCTGCCAAGCCTGTTTCAAGTAGGTGCTCTAGACCACTGAGCCATCTCACCAGCCCCCTGAATTTTTTTTTAACTTAGGAAGTCTCACAGGTATTGAACCCTTACTGGATGCTACTATTAGGTGCTTGAGTAAAAACAAGACCCATTTTTGGCCCAATCCTAAGGGCAGGTTTTTAACTTGAGTTCTGTTACCAATGATACAATCCAGAAGGTCTAAGAACTTCAAGTGGAAAACCTGCATATTTATTTTCTCTACCCTAAAATAAAAGGTTAGCATCTTTTTCACATATCTGTGCTGGCAAAAACAGATATTCCCAGCAACACCTTGGACTTCGTTATCGAGCAAAATCACAAATGTCTTCATAGATAATTATAGCAGTCTCCATGTTAAAACTGGAGATTCAGTGTAAAAGTCATTTTATAGAGAGCCCTTCCTGGTCTTCACTGCAACCCAGGAAGTTTATAGTTGTAATCCCATGGAAAAGTTATTGGAATTCTAGTGAGTTTGTTCCCATCTACCACTTTCAGTGCAACCCATGGTGAGAATAAAGACACCGCAATGTAGTTTTGGGGAACTGAGAGGTCCTAAGTCCAGCCATGACGATGGCTAACTGGAACAAAGGCTTTGACCCAGGGCCGAACCCAGATTTTATTAATTCATGAAGAAGTCAGTGGCTTGAGGCTGAGTCACTATGAGAATGGTAGGTAGTAATGAGTGCTGTGAGCTGGGCTAGGTAGGAGGTTCGAAATCAGCTCTGCAGCATGCAGAGAGAAGGAGATGCAGAAGGAGTAGTCTGCATGACACAATGGGGGTGGCATCTAATGTTTTGGGGGTCCGTGCTTCAGCTCTGACATGTGATCTTTCATGCCCTGGGAAGTCACAGCCTCTTATCCTGAGGCTCAGTCACAGCCCACAGCAAGGAGCACGGCTCTCCATCCTGCCTCACCCACCTCACATGTATTTTATTTGGGAGCTATGGGGGGCGGGGGCGGAGGCGGGGAGAAACACTGCCCTGTCTCCTTGCTTCAAAAACCACACACCAGCACCTGGGCTGAACAGATTTGCATTGCCTAAAGCCAATTGAAGGGACAAGGAAAAGCCCTAGCCAGCACTGTACACAACAAGACATAGAACTAGGGTCAGGTTCAGCCAAAATGGAGAAAACTGCTCCTCCAAGGAGAG